TTGTGGCTGTACCAGAGTCAATCATAGCAAGTGGCTGTGCTTGTGTCTTTATTGACACCATCTTCCGACTTCATGGGTTGCCCCGTGAATTCGTCTCAGACAGAGATCCACGATTCACTGCTGATTTCTGGCGTTCCGTGTTCAAATCACTCGGAACGCGCTTGAAAATGTCAACATCTGATCATCCAGAGTCAGATGGTCAGACGGAACGTGCCAATCGTGTCCTTGAAGAGATACTTCGAGGATACGTACACTCCTTTAAGAGTTGGAGTGAGTTTTTGCCAATGGTAGAGTTTGCCATCAACAACTCGGTGCATGCGTCCACGACACATACACCGTTTTACGTGAATGGCTTGCGCCATCCGCGTGTACCCACCTTACTAGAGTGTAACTCTGGTTTAAGGGGGGGAGGGACTCGCGCGAGCAAAAACCGATTTGGTTCACGCTCATCACGCTCTGACGAAGAAGTCATTGCGTTTGATGCCGATATCGATAAGATCGATATCGAAGAAGATGATGCCAGTGAGAGTGCGGAAGCCCTCACTGAAGACAATGATCCTAGTGAGAGTGCGGAAGCCCTCACTGAAGAAAAGATTGATGTTTCTGCAGTGCGCTCACAGCACACTGAAGCTAACGAGTCATCAGATGAGTTCATACTGGCTCGTGAAATGGTAGTCCGTTTTGTGCAAGATTCCACCGCCGAAGCGGTGGATAAGCAAAAGCAAAACGCTGATAAGAAAGGAAGGGCAAACACTCTTTTATTTAGTAAAGGTGACTTAGTCCTACTGTCTACGGTTAATCTACCAAAGCATGTAGTGACTAACTTGGGTAGCAGTAAACTACTACCCAAGTACATTGGCCCATTTCGTGTATTGCATCGCCTAGGCAATGCATACACGATCGAGTTGCCAAGTAAGATGCGAACGCATCCCACGTTTTACGTTGGTCGGCTTAAGCCGTACCATCAGTACGCTGCTTCTTCCGATAAAGAACGCCCTTGCACTCAAGCATCTCACAGAGAGCCTTGTGCTCCCGATGGTGGGCATCGACAAGGGTCTGAAGAGCAGTTATCTCATCCCGAGACCGATCAACAATCCCACGAGCTACCCTTAGCTCGTCACGAAGAGATGTCAGAGATCTCTCGTTCTCAAGCTGAGCAAAGGCAAACTCAGCTCGATGCTTCGAGACAGTGTCCGCCATTTGGAGACGCCTGTCCCGCTCATGTTCGAGATCGTTGCGTAACCCTTGCGTTACGCGATCAAAGAAGCTCTCAGGAACACACCGATCCACATGATCGTGTGGAGAGCGTCTTTCCTCCTCCTCCACCTCCATTAGAGGACTCTCGCGGTGGCCAGCGCTATCTAGTTGAGCAGCTGTTGAACCACCGCGACGTGAATGGACGTTGGACGAGTTATCTCGTCCGGTGGCGCGGCTATCCCCCGTCCTGGGGTTCTTGGGAGCCCCGCTCCCAACTGATGATCGACGTACTGGGTCTGGTTGAGCAGTACGACGCGGCACATCCTGTGCCGCAGAAGGACCGCCGGAGAAAGTCTTCCCGGCACGGTCGTAAAGGGATTTCAGATTTTCAATCCCTTCGTACATCTCAGTAGAGATACGTACGCGCCACCACGGGCTAGTAAGGAGGTAAGCCTCCTTAGGTGCTCGTGCAGAGTTGTTCACACAACATGAACACGAGTCTCCCCAAGAGAGGCAGGGTAATCCCTTCTCTCTTGACAGACGATGCAGCTTGTAGCGTGCACCTGTCGGGGTTCGCTTTTCAAACTTATCACGAGCTTTGATAAGTTTGTCGTTCCAAGCGTCACGACCTACATTTTCGAGGTTATGGATGTAAGCGTTCCACGCTTGAAGCAGTGAGGGACCATCACGTTTGTGATTCCCACTATACCATCGATGTCTAAAGAAAGCATCGATGAAGAATTCATGTTCAGCGCGATAGTTTTTCGCACTGGGGTCAAGGTGATGGATCCTTGACGAATCGAACAATCGTGTTCGATAGCGATCACTTGTCGTCGCCGACAAGTGATCCATGACAGATTTGGGAGGCATCCATGCCTTCTTCTCGGGAGCGAGACGCAAGACATTGCGATCCCGCTCTTCCTGCGACGTGCCGACAGAAGTACTGGCACCTCGTTGCGAAGTGGTGTCCATAGGAGAACCGACACCACTGTTAGCGCCCGAGTCTCGCGACCTCGAGCGCCTTCGCTTCGGCGATGGTTCATCTGATGAATCAGATGAACCAAAGATGCTGCGACGCAAAGCATCATCCATGCCACGCTTGGCAGGCGGCTTGGATTCGATCGCCGTCGATACGGATCCGTCTTCCGTATCAGGAGAGTACGAGACACCGAGCTCGTACTCTGTGAAGACATGAGTGTCTTCATGACAAGCGCCTGCATCACTAAGTGACACAGGCTGGGTCGCTTCAGCTACCGATGAGACATCAGTTGCTGTGGTTTCTGCTTCGGCGTCCGCACAGAGACGTGCGGACGCGCTCTCGGCGGCCTTGCTCGCGCATCGGATGGGCTTGTTAGCCATGCGATGAATTGTTGGAAAGTGGACTCGGACCAACAAGTGCAAACCCCGTCCCAAATGATTTGGGACGAGTATCCATTTAGTCAATCAGTCACTAAAGTGACTGATGGTTAAGGGGGGGTGATGTAACGGGGTGAATCGTTACCTAACAATTTATAAGAAATTGTTAACAGAATATAACTATAAGAGTTATATTCTCAGAATATTGTCATAAGGACACATGTTCTGCAGCACTTACGAGTAGTTCCTAATTGGTTGATACAGGCCATTATATCAACCAACGAAGACGCGCCACGACAGACGCACGCAAAGAGTGGTGAGCAGATAGTTGATTTACACATTTGTATTTAGACATAGTTAGATGAAGATAAATAGTGATTTATTGCAGACATTAACTATACTAAATACAGTTCTACTTTTTACTTTAACCAAGTACTCGCTTCTTCTTACCGTCTTCCTCTGCACGTACGAATGTACGTGAAGTTCCGAGGCACCGCCTTATTCTGTCATCAGAATAAGTAGCTTGTACTGTCATCAGTACAAGCTTCAGGCTGCCCCGTTACACATCCCACTCGCCCGAAGAGATGAGCTCTTTTTCAGGCTCATCCAAATCGCGAGATGTAACACTCGCTGCAGACGCAGTGGCTGCATTTGTCGCACGTGGTGACTCACTAGGTGGACTTGTCGAAATAGGCACCGCCTTTGCTGGATCGCAAAAGCTGGCGATGGATCACCGGCTGCTGAGGCCTGAGTGTCACCCTCATCGGCTGCAAGCATGCTTGCAACCGCAATTCTTGCCGCTTCAGTAGCGGACCGCATGGACTTAGTAACCATGCGTTAGATTGGCAAATGAGTTGAAATATGAACAATAAGTGCTGCCCCTTTCATTGGGTGATCCAACGTTGATCACCCGTGTCCCAATCGGGTAAGTTCAGATAACGGATGATTGTTGGTTAAGGGAGGGGGTGATGTAATGAAGTTGTCCGTTACATGACATTGACACCAAACGGTGTCAATAGGGAGTCTCCCTGACGTGACAATCCACCGACCTCTGTGCCCGAGTGGTAGAACGCTGGAACTGGGACCGGGGGGTACTTGGATTAATACCTGGAGGGGGTTGGATTACAGGGCGCCGGAGATAGACCGATATAGTAGATTAGTACCCACGCAGAAGTGGCCACCCTGCCAACCCGCGCAAGGCTTGTGATAGTTGGGTGGGCTGGAGGCCCTACTGGCCGAAAATCCCCATAGTGTAATGAGGGGTGCAGGTCCTGTAAGGAGTTCAAACTAAATCACAGTACTCGCAGTTCACCCCAGGGTGATCTGAAGTACCGCGCGGCATAAGTCTCTGACGTGACAATCCCGTGCCAATATCACCCGAGCTAATTAACATTGAAGTCAATTACCCCAAAAGTTACTATTTACGTGCTGCTCGAAGATTGGTCGATATTGATGTTTTTAACCATAGATTGCCACTAATCGTTGCTTGACGCGCACATGGGTGGTGAGCAGATTGTAGTCATACGACGACGTAGTTTGATATCGTTAGATTAAGATTAAAGTTAAAGTGATAGCTTAACAATATTAAATACCGATCTCTCTTTACCTTTACCCAAACAAGTCGTTTAAGTAGATTAGCTTCCTCTGCACGTACTAGTGTACGTGAAGGGTCGTGGCACCCCAAACAAAGGGTGGTCCCTTATAGCACGGTTCTTTGTCAAAATGAAGTAGAAAGTAATTTTTGCAACCGTATAATAAACAATTATGTATGACCGATAAGCCTAGGCAGGTTGTTAGGGGCACCGATTGAGGTGAACGGATGGCTACAGGTTCTGCTGTCCAATTGAAGCCTTTTGAAAAAGGGAACATTGCATATCAATCTTGTGCATCATGTATTCAGGTGTAAATTTGAATCGTCAGTCGTTTGAGTTTCTACCAGTGGTGGAGCGCTGTCTTTAAATTTAGAGCCGAGCCTTCTAGATTGACGCCGGGGACTACAACCAAGGAGGAGCCTGATGGACCAGTATCTTTTCGTGTCGTGGCCTAAATCGGAAGTATGTCCAAACTTGGTATCGCATTCAGCTTGCCAAGCAACTGGACAAAAGTGAACGACCTAACCCACTATATATCGTTTGGAAAGCGCAATGACCATTACCTTCCTATCACAATGGTAGTTAATTGATACATGTTACGTTACGGACCCTCTCGACACTCCAGTGCTTCGTCTGGACTGCTAGACCGACTCTACACAAGTGCAACAACACCATGCGACGCTTCAATATCTCTAGGACGTAACCTCTTATTGAAGTATCAACTACCACATCCGCGACATAAATATAACCAATAGCATCGCCCGCATTGCACCAACGAGCGCTTAGAAAAGGTCAATTTCATCTTTGGAGGGTACATCACTAGCACCTTTTGCTCATCCTTTATCTCGGTACAGCATGCAATCAACAGAAGACGCTCTGGACTTCCTTTCGGAGAGTCAGAAACGCGGTGTCGCAGGTTTATGTGCTTGTCTTCTACCCGCTGTCTCCGATGGCTCGATTGACATATTATGGTCGCGAACGTACCTGAAGCTACTGGTGGAGCATTTTTTGAGGCTTTCTAGTAGCCAAACCGAGGCCTATTTACCCATTTTAATGTCGAGACAGTTGCAATTGGCTGAAAAGATGCACATACCGTCACGTGGTGCATCTCCTTTCGTAGACGACTTTGACCCCGCCCCTTTTCTGGCTCAAGTGATGCCTAAAAATGCCACAGACACGACTCGATGTTCTCGAGCGTGGACGAAACTGACGACGCCCAAAAAAGACCAATCAGAAGCAAGGAAGCAATTGAACAATTCGGTTACAAGTGACGCACTGGACGAGTCCCACGTGCGCTTCTTTCGACTTCAAGTAATCAAGAGGCTGCTGGGGGTTACGATCAAGAGCGTGGGTTACGATGCTCGGGCCAGAACATTGATGAGGAGACTCGTGCTGGCAATGGACTTGCAGTGGGCAGACGTGACCCAGGAAGAGGAGAAGATTGGCCAGACGTTGTACGCAGAAGCTACTGCCACGCTGCTGGTTAAGAAAGAAGGAACAAAACCAAAAGGTTGGGACTGGAAACGCCATGCGGCAATTGGTGCAGCATCTGTGACTGGTGGCGCTTTACTTGCAGTGACAGGAGGTCTTGCTGCTCCTGCGATCGCGGCAAGTTTGACAGCGCTGGGAGGAGCAGGCGTGACGATCGGCGCTGTTGTGGGGTCTGCAACCGGCGTCACAGCAACGACAGTGCTCTTTGGGACAGCTGGAGCGGGAGTGATGGGTATGAAGACTGAGAAAAGGAAGAAAAGCGTTCATGATGTTGGCTTCGATCTCGTGTCGGCAGGGCATGGCATGAACGTCTACATTTGCGTGTCGGGGTGGCTGGACGAAGATGACCCGCCGACAAACGGATTCCGTCGAGCGTGGGGGGATGCTAGCGAGGGCTTGAGTGCGTCGTGTGTTCAAAGAAAGCCAAAGCAGGTGGATCAGGTGGATCGAGTCGTGGGCCAGTGTCGAGGTCGAGAAGACGAGGTGCTTACTGAGAAGAATGATCCACGTCATGCTTCATGTTTGTCGAGGACAGCACACACAGACACCGACGCGCGTGGTGGTAACTTAGCGAACCACATCAGCGACCCAAAAGCTTGTTCTCCTAGTTTGAAGAGCACAGCAGCAAGCAACGCTAGTCCATCTGCGTGGGAGCGAGGAACAAAGCTCAATCCGCTTCAAGCATGGTGATGGAACGACCGTTTCCCTCATGGTGACCAGTACTGCCTTGTCTGGGAAGAAGCAGGACTTCGACGGTTTGGTAGATGCATGCGTACATTTGCAGCTGAGCAAGTTTCAGTATATGCGACGACAGAGATTGTCAAATACACTGCGCTGGCAGCATTGTTTGCAGCCGTGGCGATTCCACGGGCGATATTTCGACTGGCTGATATCATTGACAATAGTTGGACAGTAACTATGAACGCTGCAGACAGCTCTGGTAAATTGCTAGCGGATGCGCTGCGTAAGCGCGAGCAAGGTTTGCGTCCTGTTACACTGGTTGGATATGGCATGGGTGCTAGGCTGATTTTTTCCTGCTTGAAAGAACTGGCAAATGAAGATATGGTCGACGAATCGTGTGGGATTGTAGAGAACGCTGTCTTGCTTGGATCGCCTCTTCATATGGCACGCAACGAATGGATGAGCGCTTGTCGCGTAGTCTCCGGAAGGCTAATTAATGGGTACTCGGAAAAGGATTGGATGCTGGGTCTCATGTACCGCTACCAGAGCTGGGCACTGAACTCGGCGGGCATTGCGCCTCTCGATATCGCTGGTATCGAAAATGTGAATTTGTCAGAGATCATTGGAGGACATCTGGAGTACAAGAGCAAAATTGGCGTCATACTGGATCTGCTGAAGCTGGAAGACTGAGTGGCAGCCACGAAGTCAACAGCTGCGATGCTCTGGGTGTTGCTACAGGATCGTCTAGACGACGTATGTACCGCATTTCTGGTTGCGACGAAAGTCTTGATGCATGTGATATACGTTATATTGCCAACATGCTGGTGTACGTGTGGGAGCGGACGCGGCTCACCTTTTCATCGTTGATTCGAATTTCGGACACCAAGACATAGTTGCTGCAGGATTCCAGTAGTGCACCGTACTATCTCGCATCGTGTGAGTGTCATTTAGCAGACGTAGTGCTGCTTTTGCAAGCGCCTCGTATATTTGATACCATCGACGCCACTTGCGGGCTCACATCAATTGCGACACCAGCGTTCGGTCAACCTAAAACATCACAAGTTGGTCTTCTTCAACGTAACAGTGACGTATCTCTGTCCAGTTCTCTGTCCAGATCGATGGTTGTACAAGTTGAAAAACGATCGTCACATCTTGGTCGGATCCACAAAGGTTGAAGCTCGCATCCATTGTACGTAAGCGTTGGCATATCACGTTTGCTTCTAGCAATCCATCCGGGAGATATGTCGAAACCCAGAAGGCTGACCATGAAACCTGTGATTGTTAGTAGTTACGGTAGGTTTGTCGAAGACTCCGTCTTGCTGGCAGCTCAGACGGTTGGATAAATGACAACTTTACGTGTGGCTTTTCCTCACTTTGTAAGACATACCAGCTGGTAAGGAGACAAACGAAAAAGGGGTGAGCTACTAGCCTGTACGATAATGTCCCCATGGAAAGTAGCTGACACACGATTGTACAAGCTTTGAAGCAGGCTTCTTTGACGACAGCAAAGCCGAACGGATTCGACCATGCTCCGTTTGTGCCCCAGAAAAAGAATGCACAAGGGCAAGCAGACCATACAAACAAGATTTAGTAAAATAAGTGTCATATCCGACCTAGCTCATGAGCCGTACATCAAAGTGTTGATGTCGGTCTCGTGGAAATGATCAAACGTGCAAGCATGGACGCCGTACAGAAAGTTGTCTCCAGCAACGAAGTGACATCCAAGTGAACCGAGCTGCAGCACGGTTGAACACACTTTCACTTTTCATCATCTTGTCATCGAGGCTGCGGTCATTTTTTGGTGCAAAGTGTTTGCTTGTGCTGCTTGTACAGTGATCATCATATTGTCTGCAGTCTCGTGCGTAGACCCAACTACGAAGCGAAGTGCAAGCTCGACGTGAATGAAGACAGAGTGAACGGAAATCCATTTGATTGGGCAGGCGGCAATCACAACGTCGCCCTTGACGGGACACAAGGGACCGGCAGCGAACGGGCGAGGCCACTGCAGACGAGTAGCACTTCTTTTCTTGGATGATAGCTGTAATCGTACCTGGCTGAAGCAGCCAGATGGAGCTACTCCATTACGTTATTTTCGAATTTGTACTGGTCGGGAGAACCATGCTAACGACGTTGTCGACTGGGCTACTTAAGAATGAGACCACGCTTCCGTGTGGTGTCAAAAGTCGACAAACACTGGAATAGATACGCTAGCCATCTTCGTTTTGCGAACCACTGACGGTATTTGAGTTGATCGCTGGAGAAATTTATGAAGAAACCGTACATCACGTCAACAACATTTGTAGCGAGTTTACGTGTCGCTTGCTTATGCAGACACACGCACCTGAGAACACACCTCGTGTTGCTATGACTGCTTCTGTTAGTCTTCACAGCTGAATAAGCCACATATGATGACTCCTGCAAATTAGATTAGACATGCTGAAAAAGTGTGTATTGATTGCCACTATCAATGAAGGCAGCTAAGTCCCCGGGGGCCTCAGCGAAAGAACCAACGACAACCCTGGATCATCCTCGGGTACGTCGTTCGTCAAAGGCGACGGCTTCTTGCGCACGCGACCCGAGTCCAGATTTTCTGTCTTCCGTTTCACGACCGACTCTGTCCTCAACAGTATGGATGGCTCGTTATGCTCCTCCGATGCGATGCTGGGAACTCCAGACCTGCCATCTTGATGTGACGTGCCAGGATGAGCATTGGCCTGCCCGTTCGTATCCTTCCCCTTTGCGATGTTCGACTCGAAATAGTTATCGACACCAAAATAGACGTCAAGATGCTCCAGCGTTTTTATCAGTGCAATTGGCTGGTCACCTTTTATCTCCTCTTTTAGAGCAACGAACTCGACCAAAGTATCCATGGTTTCGTACGTCAAGCCTCTCGTCTCAAATTGGAGAAGTTCAATCACATCAGAGATTTCTTTTTTTTCGCTTGTACTCCAGTAACGTAGAAGCATTTGCTGGAACAACACCGCATCCTTTCTGATGTCCGGAGATAGCTTTGCGATCGACAAAAAGGCTGTGAATTTGGGAACACTAGTAAAGGAGTCTAAAAGGGTCTGGATCGTCTTCTTCTCATCTCCATCAAAGTATTCGCTTAAGGCCCACATCTTTTTGAAATCCAGGCGCGAGATAAAATTGTTTCTATTCAAGACCGTGTGAATTTCTTTAGCTTCAGGTTGGTTCTGTATCCATTTCACGATATTATCTTTGATAATGGGAGGCCTGCGTTGGGTATTTTTGTTCGCCCGACTTGCGAGAACGTTCACATAAGCGCGCAAATCTGGCGTATCTGACATTAGCACTCGTAGTTCAGGTCGTACTTTTGCTGGCCAATGTGCTGCTTCCAGATGTGTCTTACTCTCCGCTATCATCCCGTTCCATACGTCCCAAGCGGCTTGTGCCCTGTCCGCGCTCATCCCAGCAGCCCCTCCCGCGATCGGAGCGATCTGTTGCTTGCCACTGATTTCAAGTAGCATGGACTCCAGAGGTTTTTCTTTTTGAACCACCTTTAGCAATACTGGGATGACCTGTGAAGGTCCTGGATAAGTCCTCGCCTCATCCTTTGCGGCGTTCTGTCCAATCAGTGGCACGTTGCGAGAATCGTCGTCAGAGTCAGGAAAGAAGGGTGGAACACTGGCCGCAGAGTTGCCCTCTTCCTTCGAGGTGTCGGACACTCCCACGGAAACAGTGACGCCAGTCAGAACTGCTGCAGACGCAAGAAGAACGAAGGGGTGGAAACGCATCTTTTCTTGGGCAAAGGATCTTGAATGAGTTTTGGAATGAATGAACGTTTGGGTGGCTGTGCGTCACGAGAGCCAAGAGTCTCGTCGAGCACGATGATTGGCTGGAGTGGCACCTTCCGATATCGCAGGTATTGAAAACGTAAATTTGATGGGCGAGACTAAATCGTGCTGTATTCTTACAATAGTGTACTACAAACGCGTCGAACAATCTAATGGACAGCTTACTAGCTCAAGAATTAAGCTTTATCTGTGTTATGCCATACTATAAGCTCAGAGGTGCGGAGACCATAAAACTCCCTTGCTTCCTTTAACGGATTTTAGTTTCTTGTATGTCACTGTAATGGTGCACTGTTTGCTTGGGGTGCCACGAAACTTCACGTACACTAGTATGTTACGGGGTTTATCGTTACATAACAATTTATAAGAAGTTGCTAATAGAATATAACTATAAGAGTTATAATTCTCAGAATATTGTCATAAGGACACATGTTCTGCAGCACTTATGTAACGGGGTGAATCGTTACATAACAATTTATAAGAAATTGTTAATAGAATATAACTATAAGAGTTATATTCTCAGAATATTGTCATAAGGACACATGTTCTGCAGCACTTATGTAACGGGGTGAATCGTTACATAACAATTTATAAGAAATTGTTAATAGAATATAACTATAAGAGTTATATTCTCAGAATATTGTCATAAGGACACATGTTCTGTAGCACTTACGAGTAGTTCCTAATTGGTTGATATAGGCCATTATATCAACCAACGAAGACGCGCCACGACAGACGCACGCAAAGAGTGGTGAGCAGATAGTTGATTTACACATTTGTATTTAGACATAGTTAGATGAAGATAAATAGTGATTTATTGCAGACATTAACTATTATAAATACAGTTCTACTTTTTACTCTAACCGAGTACTCGCTTCTTCTTACCGTCTTCCTCTGCACGTACAAGTGTACGTGAAGTTACGAGGCACCGCCTTATTCTGTCATCAGAATAAGTAGCTTGTACTGTCACCAGTACAAGCTTCAGGCTGCCCCGTTACACCTGGTAGCACTTCGTATTCCGTCCAAGGACCGCGTTCACATCCAACATGAACATGTTAGATGATGAAGATGACCAAAGCTTTCACGCTACGCGTGACGGCTACTCCCATTTGAGCGATGTCGAATAGGATGCGGTTGAACGAATGGGTTTGACCATGGGCATCCATGCTGTTAGCGTCATGCTAGAGGCTCTCAATAGAGATGCCCAACATGCTACTATCGCCAAGTTCATTCAAAATGAACTTGACGCAAAACGCGAGAAAGTAGCCTTGCTTCACCAACAAGGTTCTCAACAAGCAGAGTTGTTGAGAGAACAGGGTGCTCAACAGTTTGAACTGTTGAGACAGCAGCAGGCTGCTGCTGGCGGGTCGATGCACTCGCGTCGACCCGAGACTTTGAAGATTGACATCTCCAAGTATAGGGGAGTCGAAGAAGACTCCCTCTTGAGATGGTTCGTCGAATTGGATGACGCCATAAGGGCGCGTCGCATCGACGACGGGGATATGCAAGTTGCATTTGCCCAGTCAAATCTGGCAGGACGTGCCAAGACTTGGGCACTGGGGCTCAAGTTGCACGACCCATATGCGTTTGGGTCGTTGGAAGTCTTCAAGTCGCGGCTCAGACAAACGTTTGAACCGCCTAGAGCTGAGTTCAGGGCTCGAACCGAACTCTTGAAGCTCAAGCAGGGTAAGCGTGATGTGCACGCTTACGCTCAACATATACGACATCTCACGAGTTGTATAAGTTCCAATCCGGTGGATGAACACACGTTGGTTTCGGTGTTCATGCAGGGTCTTGCGGATGGTCCCGTCAAGACTCACCTGTTCCGGCTTGAACTAGATTCACTAGAACAAGCCATTTCCATTGCGGAGCAGGAAGACTTCAGTCTGAGACAGGCTCGCGCCAGCTCGACATCATATCGTCAACCGAGACGATATGACAGCGGAGGTCCAGAGCCGATGGAACTCTGTTATGTAGAGAGCGAGAAGGCTCGCTCTACAGGCTACAAGAAGTTGCAGAGATGCAACAGATGTCAAAAGACAGGACACTACGCTTACGAGTGTAGTGCCCCTCGTCCAGTGTCTCGCGACACTGGGCGTAGTGACCGTACACCCATGAGAAAGGGGCAAGGACGAGGGTCCGCAGTTGGTGCAAAGACGCAACAACGGGATCGACCGTCAAAAAACGGACAGGATCAGTAGGTGCGGAGCACCCTACTGATCCAGCAACGTCAAGAGAATTTGTAGGCCTCTTGATGAAGGTTGCTCCCAACACACAAACGTTGTGCGTTGCTGCTCTAGGTAATGAGGTCTCACTCACTACCTTGAAACTCGAAGTGACGAATAAGTTGTCCCTTCGAGCTCTAGTCGATTGTGGGGCGTCCAACAATTTTGTGCGACGCCAATCGCTAGAAGATGGTCATTTTAAGTTTGTTGAATGTGACACACCTCCTACGAGGATGACGGTACGTCTTGCGACAGGCGCATCCGTAACCATCATGAAGCGTATAGTGAAAATCCACTATACGCTGGAAGATACCTAATATGACGATGACTTTAATGTATTGGATTTGGATGACAAATTTAATGTCATCCTTGGAATACCGTGGCTCAGAAGGTACGAACCACGATTAAATTGGCAACATCGAACAGTAACGAGGCCTGCCGTGTTCATCGGATGGCCATCTGATGAACGTTTTGGAGCGTCCACAAGCGTGTGGATGTACTACGAGTGAGTGCGATGGCCTCACTTGTGGTACGGTCGTTAGTACGACTGCACAAAACCTTAGTGTACCAAACAGCTACACTTCGGAGCAAAATTCCGGCGGCTGTGAGGAAACACAGGCTGCGCCGAAGGTCCACCACTCGAATAAGTCGAGTGGACTAGGACAAAGATGTATCCCTAGCGGGGAACATCCAGAAGAGAAACAATCGATCGCTCAGATTAAGCGAAACGATAATCCCAGATCGACTGGAGAGTCTTTCGTAGAGGATCTCGCTGTGGTTGCGCAACCCCAGCTAGAGGAAGTAAAGGAAATAAGTCCCAAGATTACAAATACGGCGGAAATAAGTTCCCCGAAACCCGCGGGAATAAGTCCCCGGGAAGCCGAAGGAATAAGTCCTTCGAAGCCTGAGGGAATAAGTCCCCAGGAAATGACAGAGACATTGAATGTCATAGTCAATAACGGATCAAGCGTAGGCGCTTATATCTTGATCTGATTGCGCCTCCGAAGTTGACTTCGGAGATCACTCAGTTGCCAACGCTCGAACATAAAAGGTTCTTGCGTGATCTGCGTAGTGGCAATGTCAAGCAGATCTGCGTACTCGTCGCTGACGATGAGTGTGTAACCGACATAAGGTCAGCAACAGTGTTCACTGAGAACGAGAGAGTTCTCAGTAGTTCATCTATGGACTAGAGTGTCCTAGATGAAAAGACACGAATTGAGCGATATGACTCCCAATCGTGGGAATCGCTCAAGAAAAATCCTCTCTACGAAGATTTGGTTGAATTCAAGGATGTATTCCCTGAAACTGTTCCGTGCGAATTACCGAAGGATAAAGGTATTCGACACGAAGTCGAGCTTAAACCAGGCTCGAAGTACTGTGTCATGAAGCAGTGGCCACTGCCTCGTGAACAAGTACTTGCGATCGACAAGATCTTTGCCGATCGTTTAGCAGCGGGCCATGTGAGGGAAGGGAAACATAGCTCTCCGACCTTCTGTGTGCGAAAAGCAACAGGAGGGTGGCGGATAGTGCACGCGTTCAACAAATTGAACGCTGCAACGGTACCGGCTCAGACGCCGATACCGAGGAAGGACGTAATCATTGATGGTATGTCAAAGAGTACCATCTTTTCGTCCATGGATTTGATGGATGGCTTCTATCAAATCCTTATGCGGGAACGGGATATACCCTATACCGCAGTTAGCACGCCTAGCGGCATGCTCTGGGAATGGCTAGTAATGCCACAAGGGCTTAGTAATGCCCCTGCCACGTTCAACAGATGTGTATCACATCTGTTGAGACCAGTACGAGAATTCGCGCCGAGTTATTTCGATGACGTATTCATCCATAGTCGAGCTATGGATGGAAAGTCGGACGTTGAGGTTCACAGGTACCACGTCCGACAAGTCCTTACAATCATGCGAAAGCATCAATTGTATGCTAACCTCAAGAAGTGTATATTTGCAGCAAGCGAAATACCACTTCTTGGGTGCATCGTTGGTAAGAACGGTGTACGTCCTGATCCCGAAAAGATCAAGGCGATCACCGACTGGCCTGTGCCGGTCGATGTCAAAGGTCTTCGAAAATTCCTTGGGCTAGCGGCGTATTTGCATAAGTATTCACGCAATTACGCCGAGATGACTGTGCACCTCTCTCGTTTGTTGAAAAAGAACGAGAGGTGGTTATGGAACGCTGAATGTCAACGCTCCTTTGAGGGTATCAAGCAGAGCTTGATACAATCCCCAGTCCTAGCAATAGCCGATCAGGACAGGCCATTTCATGTGGTCTGTGATGCCAGCGATTTCGCAATCGGCTGTGCACTAATGCAGTACTATCTTGAAGGCGTTGAACGCGTCGTCTGCTATCAGTCGCGTCAGCTGCAACCAGCTGAGCGGAACTATCCAGTGCATGACAAGGAACTACTTGCCATGAAGTATGCACTCGCGAAGTTCAGAGTCTATCTATTAGGAGATAGACCCTTCATTGTTTACACTGACCATGCGTCATTACGCACGGCAGTGAACAGCCCGCACCTTTCACAACGAATGGCGCGGTGGTTGTCATTCTTTGCGGAATACAACTTTACGGTCGAGTACAAACCAGGACGACTTAATGTCGTCGCTGATGCACTCTCACGTCGTCCCGACTTTGAAACAGTCGCGAAACCCAACAGTGAGACAGTCACTGTTGCGGTTATGACGTCCACCATACTATTTCAACATTACATGATGATGTGAGGCGGGCGTATGCCCAAGATGGTGAGATTGTGAAGTTGTTGACACATCTCTCACAGCCATCTCGAGAGTCGTTGAAACGATTATCGTCTGCGTATCGATCTGCATCAGATCGATACACTACTCGCGACGATTTACTGTATTGTACAGCCGTTACTGGTGACACAGCACGTGTTGTCATTCCAGATGATACTGATCTGCGTTTGCGGATCATGTTCGAGTATCACGATGCTCCTATAGGAAGACATCGTGGCCGGGAGAAAACATATCTCACGGTGAGTCGAGACTTTTACTGGCCCCGCCAGTATCAGTTTGTGCGCGAGTATGTTCGCGCATGCGAAGTCTGTCAACGAGTGAAGTCAAGTCCTTCACTGCGTGCACCTTTACAGCCTCTACCGGTTCCGGCTGAGTGCTGGGAATCCATCTCAATGGATTTCGTCTTCGGGTTACCCAAAGACGCACGCGGGAATACGGGTATTCTCGTATTTGTTGACAGATTCAGCAAAATGGTACATCTTGTGGCTGTACCAGAGTCAATCATAGCAAGTGGCTGTGCTTGTGTCTTTATTGACACCATCTTCCGACTTCATGGGTTGCCCCGTGAATTCGTCTCAGACAGAGATCCACGATTCACTGCTGATTTCTGGCGTTCCGTGTTCAAATCACTCGGAACGCGCTTGAAAATGTCAACATCTGATCATCCAGAGTCAGATGGTCAGACGGAACGTGCCAATCGTGTCCTTGAAGAGATACTTCGAAGATACGTACACTCCTTTAAGAGTTGGAGTGAGTTTTTGCCAATGGTAGAGTTTGCCATCAACAACTCGGTGCATGCGTCCACGACACATACACCGTTTTACGTGAATGGCTTGCGCCATCCGCGTGTACCCACCTTACTAGAGTGTAACTCTGGTTTAAGGGGGGGAGGGACTCGCGCGAGCAAAAACCGATTTGGTTCACGCTCATCACGCTCTGACGAAGAAGTCATTGCGTTTGATGCCGATATCGATAAGATCGATATCGAAGAAGATGATGCCAGTGAGAGTGCGGAAGCCCTCACTGAAGACAATGATCCTAGTGAGAGTGCGGAAGCCCTCACTGAAGAAAAGATTGATGTTTCTGCAGTGCGCTCACAGCACACTGAAGCTAACGAGTCATCAGATGAGTTCATACTGGCTCGTGAAATGGTAGTCCGTTTTGTGCAAGATTCCACCGCCGAAGCGGTGGATAAGCAAAAGCAAAACGCTGATAAGAAAGGAAGGGCAAACACTCTTTTATTTAGTAAAGGTGACTTAGTCCTACTGTCTACGGTTAATCTACCAAAGCATGTAGTGACTAACTTGGGTAGCAGTAAACTACTACCCAAGTACATTGGCCCATTTCGTGTATTGCATCGCCTAGGCAATGCATACACGATCGAGTTGCCAAGTAAGATGCGAACGCATCCCACGTTTTACGTTGGTCGGCTTAAGCCGTACCATCAGTACGCTGCTTCTTCCGATAAAGAACGCCCTTGCACTCAAGCATCTCACAGAGAGCCTTGTGCTCCCGATGGTGGGCATCGACAAGGGTCTGAAGAGCAGTTATCTCATCCCGAGACCGATCAACAATCCCACGAGCTACCCTTAGCTCGTCACGAAGAGATGTCAGAGATCTCTCGTTCTCAAGCTGAGCAAAGGCAAACTCAGCTCGATGCTTCGAGACAGTGTCCGCCATTTGGAGACGCCTGTCCCGCTCATGTTCGAGATCGTTGCGTAACCCTTGCGTTACGCGATCAAAGAAGCTCTCAGGAACACACCGATCCACATGATCGTGTGGAGAGCGTCTTTCCTCCTCCTCCACCTCCATTAGAGGACTCTCGCGGTGGCCAGCGCTATCTAGTTGAGCAGCTGTTGAACCACCGCGACGTGAATGGACGTTGGACGAGTTATCTCGTCCGGTGGCGCGGCTATCCCCCGTCCTGGGGTTCTTGGGAGCCCCGCTCCCAACTGATGATCGACGTACTGGGTCTGGTTGAGCAGTACGACGCGGCACATCCTGTGCCGCAGAAGGACCGCCGGAGAAAGTCTTCCCGGCACGGTCGTAAAGGGATTTCAGATTTTCAATCCCTTCGTACATCTCAGTAGAGATACGTACGCGCCACCACGGGCTAGTAAGGAGGTAAGCCTCCTTAAATGCTCGTGCAGAGTTGTTCACACAACATGAACACGAGTCTCCCCAAGAGAGGCAGGGTAATCCCTTCTCTCTTGACAGACGATGCAGCTTGTAGCGTGCACCTGTCGGGGTTCGCTTTCAAACTTATCACGAGCTTTGATAAGTTTGTCGTTCCAAGCGTCACGACCTACATTTTCGAGGTTATCGATGTGGGCGTTCCACGCTTGAAGCAGTGAGGGACTATCATGTTTGTGATTCCCACTATACCATCGATGTCTAAAGAAAGCATCGATGAAGAACTCATTCTCAGCGCGATGTTTTTTCGCACTGGGGTCAAGGTGATGGATCCTTGACGAATCGAACAACCGTGTTCGATAGCGAACACTTGTCGTCGCCGACAAGCGATCCATGACCGACTTAGGAGGCGGCCATGCTTTCTTTTCAGGAGCGAGACGCAACACTTTTCGGCCCCGCTCTTCCTGCGACGTGCCGAAAGAAGGATCGGCACCTCGCTGTGAAGTGGTGTCCATAGTAGATTGGACACCACCATAAGCGCCCGAGTCTTGCGATCTCGAGCGCCTTCGCTTCGGCGATGGTTCATCTGATGAATCAGATGAACCAAAGATGCTGCGACGCAAAGCATCATCCATGCCACGCTTGGCTGGCGGCTTGGATTCGATCGCCTTCGTTACGGATCCGTCTTCCGTATCAGGAGAGTACGAGAAACCGAGCTCATGCTCTGTGAAGACATGAGTGTCTTCATGACCAGCGCCTGCATCACCAGGTGATTTTGACTGAGACGCTATAGCAACCGAGGACACATCGGTAGCAGCGGTTTCTGCTACGGCGTCTGCACAGAGACGTGCAGACGCGCTCCAAGCGGCCTTGCTCGCGCACCGCATGGACTTGTTAACCATGCGATGAAACTGTTGGGAAGTGGACTCGGACCAACAAGTGCAAACCCTGTCCCAAATGATTTGGGACGAGTATCCATTTAGTCAATCAGTCACTAAGTGACTGATGGTTAAGGAAGGGGGTGATGTAACGGGGTGAATCGTTACATAACAATTTATAAGAAGTTGCTAATAGAATATAACTATCAGAGTTATTTTCTCAGAATATCGTCATAAGGACACATGTTCTGCAGCACTTACGAGTAGTTACTAATTGGTTGATACAGGCCATTATATCAACCAACGAAGACGCGCCACGACAGACGCACGCAATGAGTGGTGAGCAGATAGTTGATTTACACATTTGTATTTAGACATAGTTAGATGAGGATAAATAGTGATTTATTACAGACATTAACTATGATAAATACAGTTCTACTTTTTACTTAAACTAAGTGCTGGCTTCTCCTTACCGTCTTCCTCTGCACCTACCAGTGTACGTGAAGTTCCAAGGCACCGCCTTATTCTGTCGTCAGAATAAGTAGCTTGTACTGTCATCAGTACAAGCTTCAGGGTGCCCCGTTACACTTCCTTCAAAACCTTATACATAAAATTCCAATTCATTTTAAGTTTGTTTTCTGACATTACTCGATAATCTAGGCCATTAATTAACAAGTAACACGTAAAAAATACCTTAGATAATACTCACGCTTGTGGTCACAGTAATCACAGGCGTGAGGATTTTTTAACCAACCGTCACTTACATAATCAAACTTGCACAGCAACAGCTAGAGCGATGCCTGATGTATTTACAATGTACACGCTAAAGCCTATGTGATGAATCTGCTATCGTAAAACCTATGGATGACTATGGTGAACTGAGCATGGCGACTTCAAATAAGTTAACGAGCATACCGTTTTCGTTCTCGTCCTTGCCCTTCTTGCACTTCGTTCAAACGCCCATTACTACTCCCAGCACGCCACCCATCTTTCCACAGCTGCGAGCACCACCGTTACCGAAAGCATCTTTGTCTGCACTAAGCCTTACGACACCTAACTTCAATCGCCGCCGCAATACCAACTGGGTGTGTTAGACGATTGTATTGGGGGCGCAGCATTATTGCGGTAGTGGGATGTGAATGAGCTGGAGGGATAGTGTAGCACATCTCGGGAATTTACGCTGAGTTAAGATGCGTTCAGCACCACACCGTTAGCACAGCCGACGTTGCAGTCAAGCCCTTAACCGGCATCTCACCTCACGTTGTTAGGTAGCTGAACATTCTGCCATTCCCCTCGTTCCTCGTCGTTTTTTTCGACGCTAATATCTTGCATCGACCGTCGGATAGCTTCCAAGAGCATCAGTTCCTCTAGCCGCGCAGCGTCTGCGGGTGTTGTCGCAACGCGGGACGCTGCATCATTCAGCGCTGCGACACGATTCGGGTGTGGACTGTTGATGACAGGCTTGTCGCTGATGCTAAGCTGCAAACGAAGCGAATCGCGAATCTGATCACGGTCTTCCACTGACGCGTACAGCACACTCTGCAGACTTGACGTCATAGTGCACTCTGTTTCTGTAGCTTTGGGGATTCCAAAAGCGCTACTCCGATGCGGAGACATTCTGTTTAACAATGTAATGCAAAACATGAGGCTTAGCACATAATCGCACAGTGAAAGAAGAAAATCAGGGGCTGCGCTTACTGTCAAGGAATGAGTCGAGGTGAGCTATGTCGGTCTCAGTGGCGTGTACAGGACAGTGAACCCTTCATGTTTGCAAAATGGACAGCTACAGACAGTCCACACAAAAGACACGTGAGTCAGAAGCCATCAATCTCGAGTCTCTGGACGGCAAACAGTTGTCACGCACGAAATCGTTTTGCGTGGCGGCCGAATCTGATCTGAAGAGAGCACTCGGAGCAAACGGTTTTATTGCAGCAGCTCGACGTGTTCAGACTCCCAGGGTAGAACTAGAAACAACGTAACGCCATGCAGCGCCAACCGGTCAATAGATGGACCACCTTGGCAGTATCCTCCCGTCCCTCTCTCTCACCATAAAGCTGATCGGACACTCGAGAGTGAATCCCTCCTCCTTCATCTCTTTGCCATGAAAGCGCGGCGCCAGTTTGCGGTCGACGATCAGACGGCTGCAATCTTGAGCTCCCACGGACAGCTCGGGTATAGCTTAAACGACAGCAAAGTCAATACGCAAAGGAGGTTACGTAGATGGGTACGGCAAACGTACCCCGTCGGCTTCGTGTACTTCTCGAACTCGCGCGTCGAAGGTACTATCGAGTAATACCTTTGTCAGAAAACAAATCTTAGAATGAATAGGGATTTCATATATAAGAGTTTAAAGGTAGGGTGTGAATTTAAGGAAAAGGGGTGTGAATTTAGCAATTCCCTGAATATAATTGAGTCCTAGATACTTGCACCTATGTGTAGTACTAACTTAATCATACTTATCTACAAAAGTGTACGCTAAAGTCTTGCTCACCACTCATTGCGCGCATCCATCGTCGATTGGACCGCTAGAGCTCGCTGATATATAAATGCCCACAGCAGCCAATCGGTGCGCGCTTCAAAACATTTCTTTATATATTTAACGTTCACGACCATTATCAACCTTTGTGATACTCTTCATAACCGCAACAGTGACTGTCTCACTGTTGGGTTTCGCGACTGTTTCAAAGTCGAGACGACGTGAGAGTGCATCAGCGACGACATTGAGTCGTCCTGCGGGCCAAGCCCCGAACTGAACGGCGTTTTGCCAACAATGTCATTACCGACATTGAGTGTGGTGCCTTCACGGCCGACCACACTCGATGTCGGTAATGACATTGTTGGCAAAATTTTGTACAACAAATATCAAAGTTTAATTACATCTAACAAACTCTCCCCATTTAAGGCATAGCATGGCACTGAGTTAGTGATTAACAGATAAAAAAAAAACTTGCGGCCAGGCCACCTGACTTTCCCATTCATGATTTGGAACCTTTGCAAGCTACTATTGACGCATTTGACGCAACAAGCGACCTGTCGCTGGCTCTATCAGTGTAACGGGGTTGCACCAAATTATAGTACTTTGTACCAGAGGTGTTACACACCTGAGGGTGCCCCTGTGTATAGGTGATATAGAATGTCTTATTGGTTTGTAGGGGCTGACGAGTGTCAGCCATTAGGTACGAAAGATCTTTGAGTAGAATTAAGATATTCTGTAGTCTTTAACAAAAATAAAATCAGTACCCATTTTGATCGGTAGGACACATTGTAATGGGGCAATTTATTATATTAAGTAGTCATAGTTTTATTACATAATTACATACATTATGTGTAGGCAGTATCCGGATAGCGGATACTGCGCGTCTATTTATTATTGGTTTATTATTGGGGTGCCAGACCCAATAATTAGCCAATAATAATTAGTTCTGTATTTGAGTGGTTCCCATGACCTAGGGAACATATTCGCACTTACTGCGAATTATAAAAACACAAAAATACAAACAGAGTTAAATTTACCTTATAAGTCACAGCGCTTCCTCAGCTTAATTATTAGTGTAAGACGGTAACGGCCTCTCACCCCGTTACACCTGGTAGCACTTCGTAGTCCTTCCCATGACCAAGTTCGAGATGGATATGAGTGAATCTTCGATGGCTCCAGCAGTTTCGCTGGAGCATGCAGATTTCCCCCATCTCACTACGGTAGAATGGCAGGCATTACACCGCCTCGCGGCGGTGTCTGGTGAAATCTTCGTGACGTCGCTGCTGAGCACAGCGGCGCCCGAACAACACCGTGCCGCCATTCAAGACTACATGGTGCGCGAGCTCGCCGAAGCGAACCGGCGAGTACATACTCCCTCGCGCCCCTCCCATTACGATGCAATTAAAATGGAGACGTCGACATACTCTGGTGATGGTCCAGATCGTCTCCCCCTTAATCGCTGGTTTAGGGAGATTGACGTCGCCATAGCGTCAAGGTTGATTGACGCTCCGACGGCCAAGGTTAATTTCCTACTGTCTCGGCTTGTTGGTAAAGCCAAAGAATGGGCTCTTGGGAAGCTCGTTGTAAACGAGTTGGCATTCCCCACGCTGGACGATATCCAGCGCGACTTACGACTGGCGTTCGAGCCCCCTCAAGATGAGTCACGCTTGCGCGCAGATTTCTTTTCACTTCGACTGGGCAAGCTGTCGATGCGTGATTACGTACAGAAGACGCGACATCTTGCTTCGTGTATCATCACGCAGCCGATCGACATGGCGTCTCAAGTTCATGTCTTTGTCTTTGGTATGCAAGAGGGCATGACCCGCTATTGCCTCACACGTGCTGAACCTAAGACTCTTGAGGAGGCATTTGCCCTCGCGCTTCGTGAAGATTACACGGTCGCATCGTCATATTTGCAGGCAGCGTCGCAACGCCCGCGTACGTCTGGCCCAGAGCCTATGGAAATTGACGTTATCGATGCATCTCGTGGTCGCGGCAAGCAATTTGGCCGCGACATTCGAAGTCAAAACACGATGAAGTGTTATCGGTGCGGCAAGACTGGCCATCGTGCGGCCGTCTACCGAGCACTAGCGCCAATGTCCATAAACACAGCTGACTCACGTGGAGATACTGTGCCGTCGGTGGTCCCGCCATTAACCGAGCGGTTCCAGTAGGTGCGGGGCGCCCTACTGGCAGTAATGGAGCCCCGAGTACTCAGGTGGCAGCTCGGCCTCCTAGCCCTAAAGTGATACATACCCACTTCAATGCCACCACTATGCGCGACGATTCGAGACTGATAATTATCAGTCTCATCGTTGCTGGAGTTAAACGACCACCTCGAGCGTTGTTGGATTCGGGTGCATCCAACAACTTCTTTCGAGCATCATGTTTGTCCCTTCTCCCGTCGACAGTTACGGTTCGAGAAGGTCCAGGTGACATCGTTGTCAAACTTGCTGATGGACAACCACAGCGTGTCCCGCGTAAAATAGTGGTTTTGCCGTACACGTTCGACGGCTTCCAAAGTAATGACGAATTTTTGGTGTACGAGATGAATTATGCATTCGATTGCATCTTGGGGATACCGTGGCTGTCACGATATCAGCCGACGATAGACTGGCTATCTCGGTCCGTCAAACGACGAAGCGGTTACGACGTAAGTGAAGTTTTCACTCATCTGTTGGTAGCGCCATCCGATTGGCCTCACGTCAGGGTCGTGAACGAACTCGCCACGACTAGAAGTCAGCACAGAGAGAGCGATGGCCCTCTGTGTCCGGTATGTTCAGTCACACTGATAGAACCACAACACGAGGCGGTTGAACAGAGGTTCCCGCAAACCCAGACATCGGTCGAGCAGGGGCTCCCGATTCACAACGAGACGGTCGAACAGAGGTTCCCGCAAACACAGACATCGGTCGAGCAGGGGCTCCCGATTCACAACGAGGCGGTCGAACAGAGGTTCCCGCAAACACAGACATCGGTCGAGCAGGGGCTCCCGATTCACAACGAGGCGGTCGAACAGGGGTTCCCGCACACACGGACATCGGTCGAGCAGGGGCTCCCGATTCACAACGAGGCGGTAGAACAGGGGTTCCCGCACACACGGACATCGGTCGAGCAGGGGCTCCCGATTCACAACGAGGCGGTAGAACAGGGGTTCCCGCACACACGGACTTCGGTCGAGCAGGGGTTCCCGAGTTCTAGCGAGGCGGTCGAGCAGGGGCTCCCGCATACACAAACAACGGCCGAGCAGAGGCTCCCGATTGTAACCGAGGTGGTCGAGCAGAGGCTCCCACATACATCTGAGGCGGTCGACGACGAGCTCCCGCCTCTTATCGACGAGAATGAACGGGCTGTGGACTTAAATGTGAACGACGTGGTGGAGACAGAGCTCCCACGTCTAGCGGGGGGTACTTCATCCTCCAGCGACAGCGACGTTCCAGCCTCGAGCAGTGGCTCAAGACGCAATAAAAAGCGTAAACGCAAGAAAGGTGCACGCCGATCACCAAGACGACGAAATTCTCGCTCAACCGCCGTTGACGATGATACTGTATTGACGGAATCCGTTTGTGCGCTTGATTATGTGGAAGGGTCTTCACATCGTGGCCGCTACGTTGAGGTAGCGAGCCCTCCGTGCACTGTTGCAGAGATCACATCTCTATTAACCCTACCATGGAAAGATTTTCTTCACGACCTCAAGGCCGGCGACATCGAGCAAGTGTGCATCATATCAGCCGCCGAAGCAGCTAGTAGAGAAGTTCCGGAGGCTCGCCCAAAGAGCGCTGAGCCCAAATCAGCGCGCGAAGAACGTTTCGTGGCACAGTCTTGGGAAGCCCTTCGTGCTTCGGGCAACCCTGTCTATGATATCGCGCGTGAGTATGCCGACATCTTTCCGGAGAATATCCCCGCTGAGCTTCCAGCGGATCGTGGTGTGCGACACGAGATCGATCTCGTGCCAGGATCGAAGTATTGCGTGACGCGGCAGTGGCCGCTACCGCGTGACCAAGTCATCGCAATTCATGAATTTTTTGAGGGCCGCCGTAAGGCAGGACACGTCCGCGAAAGCATATCGCCACATTCGAGTCCGACTTTCTGTGTGAAGAAAGCCACCGGCGGTTGGCGCATCGTGCATGCTTTTAACAAGTTGAATGACGCCACGATCCCGGCTCAAACACCAATTCCTCGGAAAGACATGGTACTGGATACCATGTCCGGCAGCGAGATTTTTAGCGCCATAGACCTGACAGACGGGTTTTACCAGATTTTAATGAGGGACAGTGATATCCCGTTCACCGCTGTCAGCACACCGAGTGGGATGCTTTGGGAGTGGCTAGTCATGCCACAAGGCCTTAAGAACGCTCCAGCAACGTTCAACCGGATGGTGACACAAGTGCTTCGGCCACTACGTGATTTCGCTCCAAGTTATTTCGACGATATTTTTGTTCACAGCCGCGCTGAGCAACAACTCAGCGCTACGGAGGTCCACCTTCGGCATTTGAAACAGGTGTTCCAAGTGATGCGCGAGAACAAACTGTACGCAAATTTGAAGAAGTGCGTCTTCTGCGCTCCCGAGATTCCAGTTCTTGGATGCTATGTTAGCAAGGAAGGTGTCCATGCTGAACCCGAGAAAGTGTCATCGATATGTTCATGGCCTACGCCCAGGAACCAAACGGAACTACGCCAATGGCTTGGCTTGGCCAATTACTTGCATAAGTATACGAAGAACTATGCAGAACTAATCCAGCCACTATCGACTCTACTGAAGAAAGACGCAGTTTGGTCATGGAAAGCTGAACATCACTCTGCCTTCAACTCTGTGAAAAAGAGCTTGTCTGAAGCACCAGTGCTGATGTTGCCTGATGATTCCAAGCCATTTCACGTCGTCTGTGATGCGAGTGATTCCGCTATTGGATGTGCCCTCATGCAGTTTGACGATGAGGGCCGAGAGCGCGTCGTGAGCTTTCAGTCACGACAGATGAAACCCGCAGAGAGGAACTATCCGGTACATGACAAGGAACTTTTGGCTATGCGTTACGCGCTGATCAAGTTCAGAGTATATTTGCTCGGCGAGAAGATGTTTTTTGGTCTATACAGATCACGCATCATTGCGTACCGCCGTCAAGACTCCCCACTTGTCCCAGCGTATGGCACGTTGGTTGTCATACTTCTCAGAGTATAATTTCGTGGTCTTTTACAAACCCGGCAAGAACAACATTCTTGCTGACGCGCTTTCTCGACGTCCCGATTATGATCCTCGACGTGACATGGGTCATCAGCCAGGCATTGCTGAAGACGAGGACGACGGCATTTGTTTATGCTGTGCTGAGCAGGGGCTCAATGCAATGATTTCGACACCTGAGCTGTCAATCCGGACTCAAATCGCTGAGTCATATGCGAACGATTCATTCTACACGGGAATCATCAATTATATTCGACACCCTAGTGAGGGTTCACTCGCGAAGTTGACGAAACCAACGCGTGACAACATCAAGCGGTACGCGCTTGATGGTCCGCTGCTGACTTATACAATGGACGTTTTCGACCCACCGCGCGTCGTCATCCCTGCTGATGACGACCTCCGCGCACGATTGGTGCATGAATTTCATGACACTCCAACTGGTGGTCATTTGGGTCGCGAGAAGACGTTCGCGGCCATCTCTCGTGTATTTTTCTGGCCTCGTATGTACAAATACATCCAGAAATGGGTACGCTCTTGTGAAATATGCCAGCGTGTGAAGCCTGCGCCGTCTTCACAAGCTCCATTGCGTCCGCTTCCGATTGCCACGGAAGCCTGGCGTTCTGTCAGCATGGATTTCATCTTTGGTCTCCCTCCGGACGAACAGAAACGCACGGGCGTATTGGTTTTGTGGATCGATTTAGCAAAATGGTGCATTTTGCTCCAGTCTCCGCGCATGTTACGGCGGAGACGACCGCGCAGATCTTCATCGATCTCATATTTCGACATCACGGCTTGCCTGAACTAATTTTTTCGGACCGCGACCCGCGCTTTACATCAGCTTTTTGGGCAACGTTGTTTCAACTATTGGGCACGCGACTGCTTATGTCTACGGCAGCCCATCCAGAGACGGATGGGCAAACGGAGCGCGTGAACAGAGTGCTTGAAGATGTACTACGCAGTTATGCGACATCGTTCCAGTCGTGGAGTTCGTTTCTCCCTCTCGCTGAATTTGCAATCAACAACGCAATTCATGCGTCGACTGGGTTAACGCCATTTTTCGTGAATAACGCGAGGCACCCTCGCTTTCCAGCGCTTCTTGCTCTTTCAGCTTCAGCACACCCAGTTTCTCAGCTTGGTGGAGGAGTATCTCCCGATGACACTACGCGAAAAATTTTGATGATTGGTAATGTTGAAGACAAGGTTGCTGCCGATGCAACTCATTCTGTTAATTTCGAGGCCAATGGCATATCGAGTCCCGACGCGATGCATCCCATCGCGTCTCTTGTCGCTAATTTTGCTCCTAAAGAGTCCACTTCTCCTGTAAGTTCGGCTGCTGTGACCGAATTCCTATTACTACGGCAAAGTATCACACGTTTTGTACGCGATGCACTCCAAGAAGCAGTGGATAAACAAAAGGAGAACGCGGACAAGCGAGGTCGAAAGAACTTGCTGACGTTCAAAGAAGGTGACAGAGTCTTGCTATCGACAAGCGGATTACCAGACACGTCAGTAACGAATTTGGGCGCTAATAAATTAGCGCCAAGATATATTGGGCCCTAATGGATTGTTGAAGTCCATGGAGATGCTTACACGCTAGACATACCTACCACTATGCGTTTGCACCCGACATTCTATGTCGGGCGCCTTAAGGCTTACCTGCCGGCGGATCTCCCTTTGGTCCTTCCTCACTCGTCTGTATCGGCTCAAAGTCCGACACCCCCTGCCGACGACGCTGACGACGACTGGGACCAAGTCATAGACGAGCGCGAGCAGACTCGTTCTGCTGGAGTCCACCGAATGCAGCAGTCTCGAGCTGTCGCAGACGCTCCACCAAGCCCTGCTGCTCCCGTCGGGTTCTCTCGGCAGCCTCTGTCGCAGCTGCTGCACGATCTCGAGCCCTCTCGGCCATCTCACGGGCATCCAGAAGGCCGTTCATCGCCTCTTCAGTGTCAGCACGAAGGAAACGAAGCTCGTCACACGACGGCACAGGCGCCCGATTATGAGAATCGGCGCCCAGCCCAAGAAGCCTTCCGTCGTGATGCTCCCCCTCCCTTGGTAGATGCATCGGGTGAGCGACGCTGGATTGTGGACCGTATCGTCGGTCATGAAGACCCCACGCCTCTTGCGCCGAGTAGTGGCTCGGCGCCATCGAAGAGTCGTTCAGAAACGCATTACAAGGTCCGATGGTTGGGTTATTCACCAACGGAAGACACGTGGGAGCCTCGAAGTATGCTGGCTCACGATGTTCCTGACGTCGTTAAGGAGTACGAGACCAGTAAGAGGTCGGCGAACGCGACCGACGCTGCTGACTCCTTCCACGATCCCGCGAACCGTAACGTGCGTGAATTGGCGATCGACGACGATCTCCCGAGCGACTCCGACGTCTTCTACGAGGCTCGGGAGCATTTGGATACCTTGACGGTCGAGAGCGACTACGAGAACGACCTCGGTGGTCGTAAGACAAACGATCTCGACTACGTGAACGCCTCCATTGATCGACAGGGCGTTCCCTCATGTGACGCAACGCAGATACTTGGAGCTCTGAGAGGCTCCTCTCATAGCGTCCGATCCATGGTCGGTTGTGCTGGGGCATTCTCCGTGCACACACCATGTCGTCCCATTCCTGCCGCATTGGTCGCGGTCTCTCCATGTGACACCGTGGACACCCTTCACGGACATGGACGTAACACATGTGGAACCCATCACGAGTCAAATGACATACCCGTCGTCGTAAGTCGCCAATAGCGTGGTCGCCATGAGTACTTTCGCGTCCCTCGATCCAGGACGTGAAGGATGCCCCTTCACGTCGACTCGCGTTCCAACGTCTGATGAAGGCACACCAAGATCGTTGCAGTGCGTCTTCAGTGTAGGTGTGATTCGTTCCCTTGCCTCGAACGTTACGGTATCGTGTGAAGAGATTCTTCATGGTCTCAAGTGATTCAGGTTGGTGCGCGCCTTCAAGTCTGTACAAGCCCCACGGCTTCAAGTCGTCATCCATGGTCTGCGGTGCACGCTCTCTTCGAAGTGTCTGATGACCCCAACTGTCGTTTGGGGTCGAGTCGCGTGGGTGTTCAGGATTCATGCTGCTCAGTTGTTTGTGGCTGAGCAGATTCGAAGACCAAGATGAAGTGTCGTTGGAGTTCTCGTTGGGCTTTTCGTTGGACTATTCGTTAAGAAGAAACTGTCTGAGTATGGCGCTTACGTCACGGTAAGCGCAACTTAAAGAGGGGGGTGATGTAATGGGGCAACCCATTATATTAAGTAGTCATAGTTTTATTACATAATTACATACATTAAGTGTAGGCAGTATCCGGATAGCGGATACTGCGCGTCTATTTATTATTGGTTTATTATTGGGGTGCCAGACCCAATAATTAGCCAATAATAATTAGTTCTGTATTTGAGTGGTTCCCATGAGCTAGGGAACATATTCGCACTTACTGCGAATTATAAAAACACAAAAATACAAACAGAGTTAAATTTACCTTATAAATCACAGCGCTTCCTCAGCTTAATTATTAGTGTAAGACGGTAACGGGCTCTCACCCCGTTACACACATGGCTTGCGAGCCGTCTTGATCGTTGATCACTAATCACTAAGAGTTAGCAACACCTCCTCGAGGTACCTACTCTTGAGCACTGAGTTCTGTCGATTCACTGAATCGTTAGGTCCCCTGGAACAGGGATCTGAAGCTGTAAAGCTTGTTAACTCGTAAAGTCGTTAGTTTCTAAAAACTAAGTTGATCGTATAGCGTTAAGTCTTCCTCTGACTTATAGAGCTGTGTAGCTCCGCTACACTTGGTGGCACTAGTAGTCAATCTACGCCTAGGTCTTTAAAACGGATCCTCTGTGAGGATGGAAAACCCCACTCCCCTATCTGAGGCCCAAAAGGTCGCGCTTGATTAGCTGACCGCATCGTCGGGTCCCGAGTACGTGGAGTTCCTTGTTTCACAAGGTCCTGAAGTGCTTAATGCACGTGTTGAAAGCTTCATGCAGTATGAAGCGACCCTTTTAGGGCAGGTTTAAGACCAAATAGCGTCGGCTATGCCTACACGATACGTGTCTGTACCAGACGAAGAGGCTAAGCCTCGTCCACTTAGAGTGGAAGTGAAAAACTTCTCCGGTAAGGGTGGTGAGAACCTCATCCTCTGGATCCGTGAGATTGAGATGGCCATTAGATCAGGCCTGATCACGCTTGACCATCAACAGGTCTCGCTGGCTATCTTGAAGCTCGATGGTAGAGATAGAGAATGGGCCTTGACGTGTAGCACGTCGGTGGACATAGCGTTTCCCACATGGGAGTCGCTCAAGTCACAATTGGTACAGGTGTTCTCACCACCTAACCAGGCTTACCGCGTGCGTTCACGCTTTCTTTCTACTCGTCAGGATAAGAATGAATTATTGGACTATGTCCAGGAGCTGCGAAGGCTGACGGCTGCAATGCAGTCTGACCCTTTGCCTGAAGCAGTCCATGTGACTATCTTCATGGAAGGTCTACGTACTGGCATTGCCAGGACCGAAGTTTTTCGGGTCCACCCCTCTACGTTAAAAGAGGCTGTGAGAATTGCCCTTAATGCTGAGCATAACTTCAAGTCGGCCAGACCTGGTTGGAACGGATACAATCCTCGCTCTGTGAGAGCAAACTATTCGGGTACCACTGCCTATAATAGGCCGGAACCGATGGATCTCAGCTATGCTGAAGATGGAGGGGAAGCTGAGCTTCAAGCTGCTGAGCAGAAACACGTTGTAAGACGATGCTTTACGTGCGGAAGCACTAAACACTTGCGGCCTGGTTGCCCTTTGCGTAAGCAACGCCAGGCTACGAGCCAACACTCGACCCCGAGTCAGAAGTCTGGCATGGCACGGGGAAATGCCGACACCCAGTAGGCGCGGGGCGCCCTACTGGGGAAAAACTAGGTTTTTTACACCTTTAGGAGGTAAAGGAGGGCAGGGCTTAGCCCTAAAGAGTACCATACCTACGGGTATGGTGCGTGGATACAGGTCTGGCTTGTTGGTCGCCAAGGCGAAAATTAAGGGCTCTGAGAAGCCTTGGTCGATATTGATCGATTCTGGAGCGTCTTGCAATTATGCTCGACGCCGTTCCCTTAAAGGATGTCAGCAATATGCTGAGGCGCTGAGAGCGTAAGAGGGTGATGTTATCACGGTACGTTTAGCGACTGAAAGTCGCGTAACTGTGCCTAAAGGTTCACTGAACTTAGGTACAAAGTTTGTAGACATTGACAGTATTGAGCGCTGTCTTGTCCTAGATTTGGACTCGAGATATGATCTCATCCAAGGTATGGCTTGGCTTGAGCGCCATGAGCCCTGGATTGATTGGAGGTCTAATACCTTAGGCGCTACGCGCAATGTTCCTAGAGAAGCTTTGGAGAGTCATGAACCCACATTCGCTAGGCAACAGAAGCGCTATTGGCGCGAGCCTTTAACAAAAAATGTCAATGTGCTGGATATTGGAATGTCTAAGTTATCTAACTCCAATGTTACAAACATAAGTTTCGAGCCTAGCTCGTCTAAAACTAGTGAAACGGCACGTACTCCGTTGAGTGTTACTAGTTGTGATAACGAGTAACTGCATGCTGAAAGCAAGGATGGCCTAGGGCTGAGTGATCAAGGATGTGATTCCTTTGATGTGTGTATGGTGGCATGTAAAACTATACCGAGTGCGGTCGGCCGTGAGAGCACCGCACTTTATGTCGGTAATGACATTGTTGGCTATATGCCATTTAGTGTGGGCGGCCGTGAAGGCACCACGCTTGACGTCGGTAATGACGTTGTTGGCGATACGCC